ACTTCAGCCTAAGTTTTACTTCCTTCCTCTTCCCTATCCCTTTCTTCCCCTCCCCTCTCCACTCCTCTCCTTCCCCTTATCACTCAGTAACTAAAGTAGGTGAGAGAATAAGGATGGCTTAATTAAAATGACACAATTATGTGGCTCATAAAGATAACATAGCACCAATGTCTTCAACCACTGTGCTTCATAGAATTTCAGACTTGCAAAGGGAGATTTTATAGATTAAATATTTCTGGCACAAAATGAAACTAAATGGCTTTCCCAGGCCACCCAACTAGAATTTGGTGGCTGGATATAAAAATATTCACTTACTTCCCAGTTCTAAAAGAAAAAACAAAGATGTGGGGCAGAATATCATTAACTGGTGGCCTAGCCAGAGGAGGTTACAGATCTGCTAACTTAATTCCAATCCACTACAGATTCCACAGCACCGTTCTCTGGCAGGTCCACCTGTTTTTCTTCTTTCCTGTTTATTCTCAGGATTGCAGGTGGTATGAGGTTAAGAGAACTAAGACAGTGGTTCTCAATCTTCATTGCATAAAAAACATCTGTGGATCTTTAAAAAGAAACCTGGATCCTATAACCCGGAGTAGATCTAATTGGTTTGGGGTAGATCAGTGTTCTTAAACAAACTGCATCAGAACTACCTGGAGGGCTTATTAAAACGGCCCTGCCTTGGCCGTTTCTGATTTTTTTTAGGTCTGGGATGGGACCTAACAATTTGGATGTTCTAACAAAACCATAGGTTACATTGGTACTACTGGTCTGTGGCCCACACTTTGAGAACCACTGGGGTAGAGCATCAGGTAATTTTAAAAAGTTCTTCAGGATAGTAATCTTCAGCCAGTTGAAAATCATTGGTCTGAAACAGTCATTCTCAGCCTTTTCTAGAATCACTTGGGGAAATGAAAAAAATAAAAATAAGAAAGCAAAAACTGATGCTTGAGTCCCCACTCCAGTGATTCTTTTTAATTGCTCTTGGGTGCAATCTGGGCCCTGGGATTTTTTTAAAGCAACATATTATTTAAATGAATCATACCCCAGGTGATTCTAATGTCCAATCAAGACTGAATCACTGAAAATGTTCTGCCTTCTCAATTCCTATAAACATTTACCTCAAATTTCCCCAAAAGAGTTGGATACTTTTTATCACTATAACATATTAGAAATTCCTTTCTAACTTACTGCCTGTGGACAATGATTTTTTTCGACTTTGATGTTTTAATACTAGCTACTATTCATTAAATACTTAGGATGTAGTAGACCTAGTGGTGTGATTTACCTCTTTTCCAGTTTTTTTTTTTTTTTTTTGGTTGTTTTGTTTCTGCTTATTGAATAGTTAATGCTTTAAATAATCTTTCCTCAAAAAGAGACCCTGCATCTTCTAGAATCAATGTTGTCTTCTAACTTGTGGTTAATATATACCACATTTTATTCTGTTTCTACTGGTTAGAAGCTCAAGACACAGAGTGGGGAGGGAAAGGGAGAGGGAAAAGAGGGAAAAACATACATTATGGGAAAAAATAAAACTATTCTTCTGATCTGAAAGACATTACACTTAGTACTTGAGTCTCTGTGAATCTTGGTGGGTGTTCTCCAGAAATGGACAAAGATTCAGTGTTTCCAAGAGGAAAATTCCAAAGAAAACTATGACTCCATCCTAAGGCAGCTGATTTTTCTTTTGCTCTTGATTAATGTATTTCTTCCATTTCCAACTTTAAAAAAAAGTCACTGATTTACCCCCACCCCAAGTTACTTGGAACATATGAAAATAGCATTAATCACAATGATATGAGTTGTTTCAGGTAAAGGGCTTTTAGTTAAGGAGATTTAAAAGTATATATTCAATTATTTTTACTTGTATCGCAGTTTTGGTAAATGCTTCCTTTCAGGGCCCTGTGGCTCACTTTCCACGAGATGGCACTGTTGTTTACTGTTAGACAGCCCTGCTCGTGAGGAATGGTATTCTCAAGGCTAAGAACATACCCCTACGACTTTAGTTCCTGAAATACCATTTGTTTCAAGCTTCATGAGATCTGAGAGCCATCAGGAATGTATCTTTACTTTTTAGATCTGTGGCTTAGCAAGGTGTTTAATAAATGGTACTTGATAAATGTCTACTAGATGAATGAATGTGTGTACATGTCTATCAGCTTCACATAAACCAAATGCCAGTGGTGACTAAGGCTCTTACAACTCTGAGAAGGAAGGAAGCAAGAGCCATCATAACATCTTCCTTTGTGGTCGAAGATTTCTTCAATACTCCATTTTTCTTTTTCCTACTTTCTTACAGATTTTAACAAGAACACAATTCAACCTAAGGACGCCTTATCAACCATCTCCTCATCCAGACATTTTCCTCCTTAAAATGGGCAAAGCAGCTATTCTGATCCTACCATAAAACACAAAATTACTTATAACAAAAACATGACCGGAAGAGGTATCAATTAATAAAAGATAGTCCATGCAAATAATACATGTTACCAGAAAAATTCCTGGGCAATCTTTCAAGTCTGATAAGCACATTATGGAAAAGGACCTCTTGGGAAAAGCAGCAGGTGAGAAAGTTCCATACAAAGTTCCATAATGAGGTCAGAGATCCGAGTTCAACCTGAGGTAAAGCAATGACCTCCCCCAGGTCACTTTACCTCTCTGCTTCAGTTTCCTCACCCTCAGTAAAGAAGGGGTGCTGGGGAGGGGTTTCTAGGGGACCCTTCTAACTCTTACACAGTATGCCTCTCTATCTCGTTTCCTAACATTATGGCCTATACAACCACAGTGTAAACACATAAGGGTCAAGCAGAGAATTCTATATGTTTGCTTTGAAAGGAAAGAATTGTTTTCAAACAATTGTAAAATGCCAGGGTTTTTGTTTTGTTTGTTTTGGCATCAAATATAGATATCCCTCTGTATTAGCCACTGCTTCTGTTTTCATATAGCATCAATTTTCTGAGCAATATAGATTTATAATGCATTATGTTTTAAAATGTTGTATGAAGCCAGTTTGGGTAACATTTTGGTTTTTAGGCATAGGACTTGAATTACCAAGTTACAAAGCTTGGTTTGCTAAGTTTTTCAGGAACCTGTTTCACATTATAGACTGCTACAAAACTATGATAAAGTTATTGTGAAACCACCAAATAGGGTCTAAACAAAATTGAGTCAATCTATTCGCCAGTCAATCTAATCTCGCCAGAGATTAACAAGCATCACTATGATTAGGTTGATACCAACTAACCACCTGAATCAACATCATAGAAAAAGACTGGCTCAGTTAGGGCCAGGTCCTTGGGCTACCTGAACTTTTACCCAATAAAATTGTTAAGAGTTAACTTTGTGATGCCTAAATGGGAACCAAAAATTCAGAAGTTGTAAAAACATACCGTAAATCAAAATAAGTATCTATTAAACAACTTTGCTCTGAGCCAAATTTTGGTTATTTGGTTATATAATTTCAAAGAACTAGTAAATACCAAATCCACACCTGCTAATGATCATAAAGAGAGTTTTAAAAATCTGATTTTAGTATGAAGAGATCATTTATCTATGCCTTATCCCCAAACGATAATATCCAAACACTGAAACAAAAGAATCAGTCATCAATCTACCTATTGGCTCTCAACAACATAACTTTAGTGCTTTCAAGAGTCAGGCCATTTTTATCCTTATTTTAAACAGCTAAACTAAAACTTCTGTTATCAGAAGGAGCAATCTGCTGCTAGGGTCTGCCTGATTCCAAGCACCTGCTTTCTCTGGTCTGGAGGCAGATGGTACATCATAAAAATAAAAGCCATGGGAAAATTGTACAGAAAGATATTCCCTTTAAAACCTTTTAGGGGGTTCTTTTTCCTTAAATCTAATACTATAAATACACATATTTTATGTTAACATTTTAGCTTAGAATTTGGAGACTGATGCAGGGACATGAAAAAGTTCTCTTTAGCCTGATTCATATACATGTGTTCACATATTTGCACAGGATGGGAAAACAGCCTTTAGCTTATAAGCACCCAGGGCAGGATGGTTTATTTTTGTAATTCTAACAGGTACCTTAAACAGCAGCAGCTGCTGTTCCTGTCCTTCATAGTACCACTAACTGCAAGTCTATTTTTGTTATAAGAACTCAGGTCATGCTCAATGGGATAACCTCATATATATTTGTAAGACTCTCAGAGACGAGCTACTCCATAATAAATTGGCCTCATGATATGCTTTTTCACAATAATTATTTAGGGTAGAGCTTCCCAAACCTTAAATGCATCAGAATCCCCTGCAGGGCTTGTTAAAACACAGATTTGTTGGCCTGACTCGTAGACATTCTGGGCCCTGAGAATTTGCATTTCTAACAAGCTCCCAGGTGAGGCTGATGTTATTAGTTTGAGGCCACACTTTGAAAACCACTGATATATAGATTCCCCTTGGAGTGTTCACCTCAGTTATGATTCTCTGGCCTGTACTGGCTTCTCAGTTGATATCCATCTTATGCTGTACACATCTGAAACGTGTCATTTATTACAGTCAGATGTTGCAATTACTACATACAAAGATGCTTCACAAGCAGATGGATAGATCTATTGAGGCAAGGCCACTTTGTGCCAAGGGCATCGGTAGTGTGTTTGATCAGTTAATGTGCAACTAGCTTCCCAAGTCACCAGGAGCTATTGTAACATACACACATGGTACAATTCCAACAAAAATGTCTGCTAAAATCTGACAGATAATCATCTTATTCTCACTAATTTTCATTTTAGAATTTAGACTTACCCCTTAAAGATACTAGATTCTGCTACTTTAAATCTACAAGCACACTCCAATAGTTTGAACTGATTAAATTTTGACAAAAGGTTAATATGAAGCAATTAAGCAATGCTTACTATTTCTGTTCAACTCATTTCCCCTACAATCACACTTGGGTAAATTTTAAAGCATGGCTCTCTCAGGAAATAGCATCGAAATTTTAAAATTGACTTCAAGCATACTTTAAAATGTAAACATACCTTATTTAACTTTACAAAATATTCCAGTCCAGCTTCTAAGGGATTTGTATCACAGTTCATCTAAAGAGGAAACACACATTTTTAAATCTTAGATGAGTGCGAATCATTTCAGTAACATCACTTTCATATATTTTTTTTAGGAGAAAGAACACTTTTTGATTTTTGAACACAAATTCTGAAAAAGGCAAGTTAGGGACTATCTCTAAAGCAATTTTTTATCCAAAATTCAAATGTAGCCTTTCAGCAAATGCTGCCATTTGAATATAACAAATATAGAAACTAAAATTCAGTTTGTTCCCATAGCTTTTTCATTTTAATAAACATCTGAGGATAGCACATGATATTCCTTTCCAGAAACAAGGCTCTCACATGTTTTTATATAACAATTTTACGTAACTCATTTTTGAAAAGTTATTAAGTAATTTACTTATCTTACAGTTAGCCAAGAATCAGAGTAAGGTCAGAGAAAAGCAGATGGTAGGAACATGACTTCTAGAGTTCAGGAAAGAAAAAAAGGAAAAAATAGAGATTGAATCTCAATCTTTTCAAATATGGTTGAGTCATTACAATATACTTCAAATTAGGGGCTAAAGCCAGTATTGGGTAACAGATCCGGAGTTAATAGTTTCTGTTTGTTTTGTAGTTCTCTTTGCTGTAAGAGAACTAGTCTAAAACCTCTAAAAAGTAGTCAAACTTTTAAAGACAACACAGCACCACATAAATCAAATGAATATAAGCTTGTTTTACATGATATAAGACTTGGTCTCATGTTTCCTAATCAATTTGAGCTACCCTAAAATTATTTTCTATCTGCTCAAAGTTTTGGAATTTCTTCAAGGAAAAAAAAATATATGTTAATAAAAAGCACAGAAGATTGATTTCTGTAACAACACTAGAGGGCGCCATGGCACTGCCGGGAAATCAGAGGGGACAGAGAAGGAGAAAAGCTATCCAGAGGAAGAAGCAGGGAGAGGAAGGCTGAGAAATCTGCTGCTTCATTCCTTGGAGAGTGTGGGAACAGAGCTGTCCTCTGTTTCTCTCCCTGCAGCTAGCCTGAGCCCAGGCCCCAGCTGTAGGTCAGAAGCCCCTCCCAGAGCACCTCTCACTTAGACCTTGACCGAGGGCTGCAGTAGGCTGCCTCTCCCCTGCAAAGCCTGTTTGCTTCTGCCCATGTTCTAAATGCCCAAGGGTCCCTGCCTGGCCTTTCAAATATGCTGTGCCCTCCAGTTAAATTCATTTTATTATGTACTTGGCACTCTATAAGCTATCTCTAATATCTATGATAATTCTGTAGGATAAATATTCCATTTTATAGAAAAGCAAACAGGTTCTGGAGGGCTAGGCCAGAAAGCTGGTACAAGCGGTGGAGGATAAATTCAAACCAGAGTCCCCACTCTGAGTCCATCTTAACCTCTATCCGTTTTCTCACCTCTCAGGCCTCAATGTCTCCCAAGGAAACAACTACTGAATCTTAAAAAGTTAACGGGTCCAGAGATTGCCTGCCACATTGGAGATAAAATAGGAGAACAGAGTTTGAAAACCACAGTCGGGCCACTTACTGTTATATGTAATCTAGACCAAGTTGTTCTCTGGCCTTCGTGTGATCATGTATAGAATAGGGGTAGTCAAGAAGGTAAATGAAATCATGCATATGAAAATGTGTAAATGGGTAAGGCACTATACAAATAGAAACTAACTCTTAGTTGCCAATATTTATTTCTTTTTATTTGATTCTGTAGTTGATTTTATTAGTTGCCATTATTAATGGTGGAGGAAGCCTAGACCATGGTTCCTGCCCCTCAGAAAGAAATGTTAATTCACCAAAAGGTGCAAGGTAAGAAGAAAATGAGGATGGACCACTGACAGAGGAGGAGGAGAGAATGTAAGAAGTGCTACTCAAATTCTGTGGGGTAGGCGGGCTCCGCACAGGCAGAGACATCCAGGGCTTGCGGCCAACCAGGAGGGATTAAGGCAGAAATAAACATTATGTCAGAATTTCAATGAACTTTCGATTGGGAAATTGAGGAGAAATACCTCTTCCCCAAATAAAATAAAGTTATCTAATAATATGTAATTTCTTTTATAGCCAGAGCCAATTTAATGCAGTTAAAACTATCTCTTATGCAAAAAAGCAGATACAATAAACATAAAATTTTAATGAAGATGCTAGCATGTCAAACCTCTGACCCCCAGGCTCTGAAAGCTTTCTCCAGTCTTAAGACATTCATGGCATATGTTCCAAAATTGTCAATTCCCTCCTCTTGGCCTGCATTCATGATGACGTCATAAAGTGCTGCAGAATCTTCTCGTCTGTGGTACAGCTCCCAACCCAGCTCACCTGAAATAAATCCACAGGTGCCATGCCAGAGTGAGAACAGTGATCACTAGGTCTAATGTGTATTAGCTAAAACACACGGAAGCAGGAGAAATTCTACTTATGCAACATAGACATTGTCCATCTTTAAAAGACCGGTTCATAAAAAGTTGCAATCACAGGTGCATTTCTGTCCAATCCTGACTCCCACACAGAGAGCGGTATGTAGGACACCTCTTCTCATGACACAGAAAGACTGGAACGCAGGAGTTAATCTCCAGCCTTGACCCTCACTTCATAAATGAGGCTTGACTATTTTTCAGGGACAATGATGTTAGGTGAATAATTACCATGGCATAGTTTACCAAGATAAGGTGTACACAGTTTACATAACCCCAATCCCAAGCCCTTGCCTAAGAATCACAAAGCTTAAAAATATAGTCAACTGAGAATTATTCAAATTGCCTACATTGTGGGACAGCCATAGTCTCTGACTCCCATACTCCCCATTTCTTCCCTATTTGGTCATTTCATTCGCCATTAGAGCTGTGGGCAGAAATCAGAAGAAATGAAACCAACCCAAGCAGTCCTGCTTATTTTTTATTCTGGTCACCAATTTGCCAAGGTTGGGTAGAAGAAGGGCAGGGGACAGGTAGAGTGGAAGATCTTTGGTCTTTAATATTATGTGTTCTTCTTGTTCCCTGAGGTCAAGGGTTCATAGTGATGTGTTTTTATGGGACGACATCAGAATAAGAGCAACATGTAATTGAGCAAATGCTTGGGCAGGAAGTACTCCCCCTGTGAAGGGATGAGAAAGTCTATAGGAAGCCGAAAGTAAACCTACAGCACCACTGGGGAACTGAAGAGCATTCATTCTGTTCTGTATCAAATACCTACTACGTGCAAGGTCAGGTGCTAGTGAAGACTTCCTAGTGAACTTCCAGTCTGAAAGGAAAGATGGATGGTTGGCAATGCTCTAGGAGAGGTGCTTGATACATGCAAGATGGTCTCTATGGGAGATTCTATTTCCAGGAGACCAGCTCGAATGTTCCCAGGTAGAGTTGCTGTCCTGAGTATTCCACCTCTTCCAACAGCCATCCTCTTCCTACTTTCTTATCTGCCCTTCCAGACTCCATAGCTGGTAGGCAGCTATGGGACTGGAGCAACAGTGGGAATGTGTGGAAGCACTCTCCAGACTAGGAGTGAATAGACAGACTTGTTGTAAGAGTTGGGCAGAAGAAATCTTCCTTCAAAGACACACAAACAAAATTCTGGTAGCATCTTTTACATTTCAGAGATTTACTCTAGGCTATTTTCCAATTCTTACCAGTGTAAGATATCCTAATAGCAGTGACAGGAATGTTGGAAATCTTTAAGGACTTGGTTTGAAGAAACTTGAAAACAACATCACTAAGATCTTCAGAGGTCAGTTTCTGAAGGACCTTTCTTGCATGTGGCCCTGCAACTCCAAGGACTCCAAGCTCATCAGTTATGTTTTTAATTTCAACATCATATCCACCTTTGACCGCCTCTTCTTCGATCCATCTGTATTTGAGTCAAAAACATTGTGTTAAATATTGCTTGAATAAATGCATTTTGGTAACTTTATTTCTCTGAAGACATGCTTTGTGTCTAGAATTATCAGAAAGTCCCCATGGAGTTATTTCATAAAATCATCTGATTTTTAAAGCTGAGGAACCCAACTGTCTGAGATGTTAAGTGATTCTCTTTAAATCGGCCACTTATAAATTTGGGGGTAATTTTCCACAGTACAGAAGGATCCTTCCATTCAAATGAGCTTTGCCACACTGTTCTTTTAAATAGTGACAGACCTATTACATTTAAACTAATGATTCAATCTTCAAAAAATTAATTTAAATCCAAATTTTCTCCAATGCCTATACACAGGAGACACATTTGTGTTGCCAAAGGTTAATAATGTGCCTGCCACCAGACACATAATTGCTCTGACAATCAAAAGGAAAAGATAGGCCGGGCGCGGTGCCTCACTCCTGTAATCCTAGCACTCTGGGAGGCCGAGGCGGGCGGATTGCTCAAGGTCAGGAGTTCGAAACCAGCCTGAGCAAGAGCAAGACCCCGTCTCTACTATAAATAGAAAGAAATTAATTGGTCAACTAATATATATAGAAAAATATTAGCTGGGCATGGTGGCGCATGCCTGTAGTCCCAGCTACTTGGGAGGCTGAGGCAGTAGGATTGCTTGAGCCCAGGAGATTGAGGTTGCTGTGAGCTAGGCTGATGCCACGGCACTCACTGTAGCCTGGGCAACAAAGTGAAACTCTGTCTCAAAAAAAAAAGGAAAAGATAAAAACTCTAGTTTCAATGTCTAAGTCTTGGTGAGTTATTGGAACCCAGCTATAGGGCTGGTTTATAATCTATTGAACAGTCCCTGGAGCTATATAAGTCTATCACAAAATATTCACCTGGATTTACACAAGGCTAAGCTATGAAGATAGCCCCCAATACACCTTGGATTGGAACATATAATTTGCATCACTTTACAACTAAGGTGAGAATCTATTAGAGTAAGACATTTATTAAATAATAATATTCCAAACATTTTTGCAATATTAAACTAATGTCTTTATAGTAGATTACAGATTCATTCAAAGGCTCTACTTGGCAGGTCAACAATTTAGATCCAGCTGTGGGCCAGAAAGCACAAAGCTTCACAAAGGGAGAAGACAACTCAGGGAGGCAGCTTACTGAAGTGAACTGAATGTGGGAGACAGAATCAAAAAGACTAGCTTGAGCAAGTTACTTTAATCCAAACCTCACCTTCCTCATCTGAAAATGGAAATAACACATATCTTGCAAAATATTAAGAGTATTAATTGAGGTATTATAATATATCTATAATGGATTCTGGCACATTGATTATGCCTAATAGATAGGAGTTAATATTGTTAGGTTCCTATGGATAGATTATCTTGGTGAGCGTGGTGACCCTCACTTCAAATATTTTTCTACAAAAGACATGAACTTTATTTGAAATGATCATATTTAAGAATAATTAAAGTTATAATTTCAAATACTGTAAAGGAAAAACTCAGTGTAAGATTGAGTCAATATAAAATATGTACAAAATTTTCTTACTTGGTGTGCACTTACCTAAGATCATGAAGTTCTGATCCAGAACCAGTTATTAATAGAAACTCCCCAGGAAACTGGTGAGAAACAGTCAACTCAGCATATACTTGACCTTTTGGTGTTAACATGTGACTTATATTTGTAAAACCCACCTACACAAAGAAATTTAAATTTACCATAGCATGAAATAAAAATCTTATGCATCCTTTTAACACACATTTAAATAAAAATGTGAGTGTTAATAATAAAAATCATCTGACTCTTAGCATTTTTATCAACTGTATGAATTACCTATAAACCTAAACCCCAAATTAATTTGAAGTTCTCAACTTAAACAATCATTTAAAATTATTTGTCATAAAAATTACACTTCATTTAATTGCAGTCAATTTTAAGTTCCCATTGATACAATTAAGCAAAGTCATAAGGTCTTTGGCTGATAATTTACTCAACAAATATTCCTGATAATTTACTCAACAAATATTCAAATTTGAAAATTAGCTTCTGTACTTTTGGTTAGTTGAAGAGTTCTAGCATTCATACTGAAATCAATAGGTGAACTAAAATAACATATTGGTTTGGGGAGGGAGAATGAGAGGATGGAGAATTAAATAGGTCAGAATCCTGGACCTTGTATCCCTACAAGGCTATTTACCTTTGGAATGACATTTGCAAAGAGACGGTCCAACAATCTAATGGAATCTTGGCCTTTGATGTTAAACTTGCCAAACGGGGACAGGTCAATCACCCCTACTCTTTGCATAACCTGTTTATATTCAGAGCCCACCGGCTCAAACCAGTTTGTGCGGCGAAAACTTGGCCTGAAACACAACGTTTAGTGTCCTAAAACTATCATTCATTTTTTTTAAATTACAGAATAAGGATATTTTAATAAACTCTACTCATCTGGAAAATCCTACTAGGGAAGACAACATGCAACCTAAAATTATATTCTGCAAAGCATACATGTATGTATGTTGGAATCTGACTGTTTAAAGTTACTCATCTATTCCTTTGGCCCATTTTACAGTGAATGAAGTATTAATTAACTAGAAAACAAGATAGACATGTGGTCTCCTAGATTTGGAAGAGAGCTTAGAAGTCAACCAGTCTGATGGTTTTCTACCTTGGTTGCATATTAGAATCACCTGGGGAGCATTTAAAAAATATTAGTGGTTGGGTGTAATTAAACCAGAATATCTAAGAGGTGGAGCTATCTAATCCAGTGCTTTCTCGAACATTAAAGTCCAGGTTCTGATACAGTAGGTCTGAGGTGGGACCCCATAGTCTGCATCCTAACAGGCACTCAGGCAATGCCCATGCTCTTGGTTCACACCTGGAGCAAGCAAAGATCTGGTCCAATATCTTCATTTTTCACAGAAAAGGCACAGAGTGACATCTGAGGCCTTTGTATTAGTTAATAATATGCTGGGCCAGGAACAAATGTCACCTGACTCATTACTAAGGATCCTTTCTACTTTATGATGTGGACTTCTAATGCAATATTTTAACTTCAAAGCAAGATGCTAAGTCTGCAAAATAAGCTTTCAGTAGTTTAATTATTAAAATGGTCAAAGAAGCATGGGCCAGATCCAAATATCACACAGTGAAGAATAAAGCTGGCATTTATCAGAGTCATTTAGGAAAAACCAAACAAATATTTGGCCACCAAATAATCTAGATTGACTGCCTGTAGAGCCCAAATTCATTCAACAACTGGCCCTCTACTACACTTTGTACCATTTAGATCTGGTCTTTAAAAAGTCATCAAAACCTGGTGAAGGCTGGGCGCGGTGGCTCATTCCTATAATCCTAGCACTTTGGGAGGCTGAGGCGGGAGGATTGCTTGAGGTCAGGAATTTGAGACCAGCCTGAGTGACACTTAGACTCCAGAATTTTGTAGAACCCAACAGAGTTTCTAAAAATAAAAAAATTAGCCCAGTACAGTGGTGCATGCCTATAGTCCCAGCTACTCTAGAGGCTACGGCAGGAGGATCGCCTGAGCTCAGGAATTTAAGGTTGTTGTGAATAGGCTGATGCCACTGCATTCTAGCCCAGGTGACAGAGCAATACTCTGTCTCAAAAAAAAAAAAAAACAGAAAGAAAGAAAGGAAGGAAGGAAGGAAGGAAGGAAGGAAGGAAGGAAGGAAGGAAGGAAGGAAGGAAGGAAGGAAAGGGAAAGGGAAGGAAAAAAAAAGAAAAAGAAAAAAAAAACCCAAACCTGTTTAGATAAGCAAAAAGACAGCTAAGAAATAAAGGTAACTTAACTGACATATTTGCAATTTGTTTTCTCTTGTATTATAGATTCTCATGGGAAAAAAATATATATAATCACTATTAATCCCAAGTGCAACAGTGGCATGTAGCAGTTTACAGGAATTCAGAAAATCATTTCAGTGACATACTTTATGTTTTAGCTTAATCTGAAATGCTATGCAAATGATCTTTTCCCCTAATTTATCATATACATGTACATACAATTTGCATGGCTCAGTGAACACACTTTAGAAAGCAGTTGTTCTGAGCTATTTCATGATGAATAGAAAATCCACAACTCTAGGTACCTTTCACTTTGTGGTTGTACACTACGTGGTTAGACCAAACATCCTAAATCAAAGCAAACCTTCAGGAGCCAACTGGAGCCACGTGGGCATTTGGAAGGGGGGTGGGGAAGGAAGGTTCCTCTGAGTTTCTGGTAAATGCCAAGTAGAATAGGCTTCACCCGGGCTAGTTATGAGATTCTCAGAGCCACATGGGTCCTAGATGTGGACCAGTTTGTTATGTGGGCTAGAATAATGACTCCAATGCCAGAAAATAATTTTCGTAGGAAAGGCTCAATGCTCCTTGGAATGTGGTGGAGCGATGGGGTGGAAGGGGGGAGTGAGCACTTCTGCTGTCCTGTTGCTTCATCCCTCGGTCAGAACCACAGGCAGGTTAACTCATTCACTTACCTGTACTGAGTGTCCTGGCCTGGCTTGTAGAACCAGTGTGGTTGCTCCCAGCCCGAGTGGAACCCCATGGAACACTTAGACGCCAGGATTTTGTAAAGCCCACTGACTCGCTGAGTCGGCCTACCTGCAAACCGTTCTTCTTTAGGATAAACAACTGAAACAGGAAAATTGGTATGTTAAGTATCATATAACCCAAACAATAAAATACGTTGACAGAATTCACAAAATGTAAAACACAGCACTTAAAATCCAGAAGCATAATATTAATAATATATATAAATCTTTGTGTAAAACACAAAGCTGTCACCTATATTGATCATCAAAGAGTAATGTAGAAATATACTTACAATTTAAAACCAGTGATAGACTTCACACATTAAATACATATATTCACATGTATTCCTTGTTGTGTCTTAGAGGCACAATGCTTTTTAAAGTCCCTAACCACCCACACCTCAATGAATAGAATAAAGAGCATCTAAAGTCAGAGATGCTACAAGTCAAATCAAATCTGTCAGCACTTTGTAGACAACAGTAAATTTGCACCTTACCAACATTGTTGAATCCATACGATTCTCTTGCTTTGGCCTCAGTATACTGAGTTGTCGTCCATTTGCCATAGCGATTAGGATCTAATTCTATCAGGTCAAAAGGAGGTTCTCCATGCAGGATCCAGTCACTGAGATATTTCCCTACCCCACCAGCGTGGATTATGCCATATCTTTCAAATACAGAGACAGGTAATCTGTTACTAACACGTGTTGTTTTCAAATAATGAAACATGACCAAATATTTCACAGGACCCCAAAGTTGGAGTGTTCTGTGCTATTCAGAACACACAAACAACATAATCTTTATGCTACCAACTTTTTCCTTAAAAATGACACATTTAGCATCCAAGTTAAATGTGCCTGACTTGATAGCTAGTTTATTTCTGCAGTTTCAAGAGAGGCATACCTGCAGAATAGCTCCTTATTGGGAAAAGGCTCAATGATCCTTGATTTCTAGCTGGTAAGGATTTTCTCTTTAAGAAAATGAGAGGCTGAGGGGAGGAAGCAAACAGGCAAATGTGGTTGATACCTACCAGCTGTCTTGGGCTATGATTATCCTGACTGACAGGCAACCTTGTGGGAGAAACGTGTACTTTAGAGTGTCTGTCTGTCCACCTGTTCTCAGACTCAGTTTAGTTCTGATCCCCTTAGGCAATGACTTCTGTGCAAGGAACTTGAGCCATTATGTTAGGAGCATTTAGCCAAAGAGTCCTTCACTGGAGACTTATGGGGAAGACATAGAAAGGAATGCTGGCCCCTGTGTTTTGCAACTAATGGGTCACTTGGTGGGGAAGGTGGGCTTGTTTTCTATTTCCATAAGAAGATGCTTTAAAACCAAGAACAGGATTGTGTCAAATAAAGGGGTTTTGTTATCAGGCAGAATGGAGGGATCACAGTTTTACATTGGCCACATGCAGTTCCCCTAGCTCTTGTCTAACGAAGGCCTTGATGGTGGGTTCATTGTGGCTTAAGTCAAGAGAAGCTTCTGAGGAATTGAATGAGCCAGGAGGCATGGGGCGAGAACCAAGAAAAGGGGCTACATAGCAGATATCAAGACACAGAAACTCAGGATCACCGGTTCGAAGAGCATGGGAGGAACTTTAGAAAGGCTAGAAATGTTAACTAACTTTCCTACAAGACACCAGTTTTGCTATTTTATAAAAACGAGTGACTAAATTCGTTATAAGACTATTTCTCAAGGAAGAAAAAAAGGCAACAATTTGCAATTCCCTGGGCAGTTTAAAACAGAAACATGGGTCATTCAAATGATCTACAACCAACCTCTCTAAATTTCAAGAAAGCAGGAAAAATTATTAAGTATGTACTTAAAATGTTTATTAAAGTTAGCACATTCACTTAACCAGGCTTAATGTTGATATATGTAGAACAGTTACCATTTTTGAGTTATAGATACTGTTTACAAGAATTGAAGCCTTATAAAGTTTTACTGAGATTAATCAAGTGCTTACCATTTACCACATATTGTTTCCATCTACCATATATGAGCTGATTTATTTTCTAGCAAGTCTATTTTACCAGTGAGAAAATCAGCTCCCCCACACGGGGGTTAAATAGGGTCACACAGCAATAAAGACCAGATTCAGGATACATATTCTGTTATCTGACCCAAAATATACTCCTTGCTATTGGACTTTACTGTCTTCAGTGGTTCTCGATCTTTGTTCAGACAAGACACAATGACAGATACTGTAGTATTTACATCTTTGCAGACACTCAGGGCAGAGCCAAGATGGTACTTTAGTTTCCTGTAGTCCAACTGCTACAACACCGTGTTCTTTCCCTTTCAACGATGCACATGAGCAAACAAATGCAGCTCATTGCGGTTATTTGGGAGGAGCTTGGGGGGATCCTGAATCAAATCTAACTCATTTTTAAAAAGTAAATCTTCTAGAAACCAGCCCTCTAACCATTAACAATCTATATGTAAAAAACGCCATACAATTGAGTGTTGCAAAACATCTCTTAAGAACACCTGACTTAGTAGCTAAAAGTATAACAGCACAGACCTGGGTATGATTCCTGTTCTGCCACTGTTAGCCTCATAACCTTGGGCAAGTTATATAACCACCCTGGACTTCAGTCTTCTCATATGGACACTTTCTTTATGGTGTTGGTGGAGAATTAATCATCATGACATTTAAAATCATTTAGTACCCTGCACGGCACATAGTAAGCAAGCAATACATGGTGGCTATAGGGCCCTACTATGACCAACAGCAGACAGAGTCAGGTTCTTCTATCTCTAGCACTAATCTGCAAAACCAGATTCTTCTGTATGACCTCAGGCTGCTATGCTTTTTGAGTGTTTATGTCTGATTTTTATGATAACTCTGTTAAACTATCAGATGTTACATCTTAGAGCACTCTCTTCTCTTTAAACTTGCTGTTTATAATCTATTCTAAATCAAGAAAACCAGATCCAATCCAATCCAATTCATAAAACATTTTGGGGGCATTGTGTTGATCACCTAGAAGCAGAAAAACTTGTTAGAATTGCAACAAATGTCCAAAGTAAAATAGCTTTGATTAAGGATATTCTGTGAGTAGGTAAATGAGCACTGGTACATACGTAGATGGTTTGCAAACACCTATTTCCTGAACTGTTTGTACCAAAATTACAGACAATACTGAAACACAGATTCCTGGGCCCCTCTCCAGACCACTGAATTGGAATCTATAGGAATGATGTCTGGAAAGCTGTTTGTTTGTTTGCTTGTTTTCCGATTGAACACCTCTTTCATGATACTATGAACTGAATGTCTGTGTCTCCACACCACCCCAAATTCATCTGTTGAATCCCTAACCCCCAATGTCATGGTATTTGGAGATGGGGCCTTTAGGAGGTAATTAGAGTTAGATGTGGTCACGAGGGTGGAGCTCTCATGATAAGATGACTGCCCTTCTATGAAGAAACAATAGAGAGTGTCCTGTCTCTCTCTACACGCATACACAACAAGAAAAGGCCACATGAGCACACAGCGAGAAAGCGGCCATCTGCAAGCCAGAAAAAGAACCTTCTGCAGAACTCAAACATGCTGGCATCCTGATATCAGACTTCCAGTCTCCAGAACCATGATAAAACAAATTTCTGTTGTCCGAGTCACCCAGTCTATGGTATTTTGTTATGGCAGCTCAAGCAAACTAAGCCCCATGGGTTCTAATGACAACAGGAATTTCATGGATGAGAGGTATGGGAGGATAAAAAATGTGCATGTGACTAACCACATGGTTGAGATGCTGCTTTTTAACATGCTCCTCAGATGATTCTGCTGCTCACTCAGGTATGAGAACCACTGGCCTCCAGAACCATGGGATAGATACACTGATGGAGGCCAGGAGGGACAGCCAGTGTGGGTATTCCATCATTTTACATAAGAAATATCTTAGAGACCTCAACTTTTAGGTAATGGGAAGGTTTTTCTGGTTTAGAACAAACCTGTCAGAGAGAGTGAGGCACTTTGCCCACCTCCCTTCTCCACCGGTCATCTTCTCCATCCACCTCCCAATATCTACAACTTGGAAAAATTAGCCAGAGCAATTAGAGCTGGAGTTTGACATCAGCTTGTATGCAAGTAGATACAATTCCTAGATAATAAGTAACTGGTGTTCTAAAGGGAGCTCATTCCTAATTTCCTGGGCAATTAGTTATTAGGTATTCCACATGAGATCAGTGACACTGTCACTTGTTCACAGCTCAGAACAGTCAGTTCTGAGGCTTATAGTCAGTGATCTTCAATTTCTATTACTAAAAGCCAATTGCCATATCAAAAAGAATAAACTACTTAGGAATAACTTTAACAAAAGAAGTGCAGAACTTATGCTCTGAAAACTACAAATCGTTGTTGGAAGAAATTTTGAAAGACCTAAATATATGGAAACATATCCCATGTTCATGAATCAGAAGACTTAACATTGTTAAAATGGCAATATTCCTCAAGTCAATCCACAGATTCAAGGCAGTCCCTATCAAAATCTCAGCTGACTTCTTTGCAGAAATTGACAAGCTGGTCCTGCAATTTATATGAAAATTTAAGGGACATAGAATAGCTAAAACAGTCTTGAAAAAGAGCAAAGTTGGAAGATTCACACTTCTTGATTTCAGAAGTTACTACAAACCTACAGTAATTAAGACAGTGTAATACTGGCATAAGAATAGACATAGATCAATGAAATAGAATTGAGAGTCTATAGATAAACCCATATCTCTAGAGTCAATTGATTTATGACAAGAACACTGTGATATAAAAAATAAATATTTGGTCTTTGTCCCCAGTTCCTGCACAGAATTCCTAAAACATTTGGAATTCATTATCTTTTGTATGCTAATGAGGTGGCTCTTGTAGGGAGAGGAGAGCAGTGCTGGATGACTTCAGGATGTGGGATGGTTGCCAGAAAAACCAACTATGTGATTAGAATGTTAGAACTTTCAGTCCCCACTCCCTACTCCAGTCTCCAGGCAGTGGATAAGGGCTGGATATTGAGTTCAACCATCAATGATTTAATCAATCCTGCCTACATAATGAAACCTCCATAAAAATCCTAATGATGGGATTCAGAGAGCTTCTGGGTTGGTGAGATATTGATGTTCTAGGAAGGTGGTGTGCCTGGAAATGGTGCAGTAGCTCTGCACCACGCTCCTCCCCCCACCCCACATTTTGTGCTAGGCATCTCTTCCATTTGTCTGCTCCTGAGATGCATCTTTTATAATAAACCAGTAAATATAAGTAAAGCATTTTCCTGAGTTCCATGAGTGGTTCTAGTGAATTATTGAAACTGAGGAGAAGGCTGTCAGAACACTCAAATTTATAGCAGTGGTCAGAAGTATGGGTAGCTCCTGAGACTTGAGACTGGTGTTCTGAAGTGGGAGCAGTATTGTGGGACTGATCCCTCAATCTGTGGAGTCTACACTAACTCCAGGAGTTGGTGTCAGAATCGAATTGAATTGTTAGACACTCAGTTGGTGTTAAAGAACTGAAGAATTTGTTGGTGGTGTTGGAAAATGCCACACATTTGTTGTGAGAAGTGTTAGAAAAAAGACATTTCAGATGCCAACACGATTCAATGACGAAAGAATAGTCTTTTCCACAAATAGTGCTGGGACGACTGGCTATAGACATGAAAAGAGTGAAGCTGGCTACCTACCTCACATCATATACAAAAATTAACTCAAAATTGATTAAAAACCTAAATGTAAAAGCTTAAACTATAAAAATTTTAGAAGAAAACAAAGGTTTAAATCTTCATGAACTTGGGTTAGACAATGGTTTCTTATAAAAGACACAAAAGTCCATGTGACCAAAGAAAAAATAAAGAGTCTGGACTTCATCAAAATTAAAAACTTGTGTGCTGCCAGGTGTGGTGGCTCACACCTGTAATCCTAGCACTCTAGGAGGCCAAGGTGGGCGGATCACTCAAGGTCAGGAGTTTGAAACCAGCCTGAGCAAGAGTGAGAACCCGTCTCTACTATAAATAGAAAGAAATTAATGGACCAACTAAAAATATATATACAAAAAATTAGCCGGGTATGGTGGCGCATGCCTGTAGTCCCAGCTACTCGGGAGGCTGAGGCAGAAGGATTGCTTGAGCCCCGGAAATTGAGGTTGCTGTGAGCTAGGCTGACGCCACGGCACTCACGCTAGCCTGGGCAACAAAGTGAGACTCTGTCTCAAAAAAAACCCCAAAAAACAAAAACAAACAAACAAAAAAACTTGTGTGCTTCAGGTGGACACCATCAAGAAAGTGAATAGACAACCCACAGAATGGGAGAAAATGTTTGCTGATCATGAACCTCATAAAGGTCTTGTATCTAGAATATATTAAAAAACTTCTATAACTTAATGATAAAAAGACAATTTAATTATAAAAATGGGAAAAGGACACTTCTGAATAGACATGAATAGACATATCTCCAAAGAAGATATACAAGTGATGTGCAAGAGAAGCACTCCTACATGTACATGCCTACAGATGGACTCTATAGAATAGGTGATCATGTAAGCCCTCAATTACATTACACCTTCCCGTCCCATATCTCCTTCTGGCTTCTCCCTCTGGGTGTCCCACAGACCCAAACGTAACACTATAAACCCAATCCATCAAAAATGGAACTCATTATTTTCCTGGTTTTCTCTCCCCATGCATGGCTCCAGTATCCAGGCAGTGCTCAAGTTAGAAAGGTTGCCATTACTTCCTGTTTTTTCCTTTCCCTCAAGACCCTATGTGATCAATCATCAAATCCAAAAAAATTTTATCTCCTATCTCTCAGTCCTCACTGTTGCTATCTTAGTTCAGACCCAGACTCTCTACCGCATCGGCGGAACAGCATCCCAGCCAGCCTTCCACCTCCAGAAAGACCGCGCTGCCTTGGCCCCAGCTGCAGCCCAGCGCCTAGCCCTATGCCTGGCACAGAGCAGGAAATCATTAACTGTTAGTTAAATATATTGCCAAATAAAGTATGCAAGAAAAATAGAATCTCAGAAGCTGAGACATGATAGTAAAGTGGGCTTGACATCAATATTCACCAAATTAATGGAACAAATATTAGAAATGAAACATCAAAGAGGCAATGGAATTATAAATAGGAAGCAATCTGAGGAATTATAAAGAAACAAATCATGTTGGAGAAACATGAATTATGGTGAAAAATGCATCAGCTATTATGTATTATACATTTGATATTTTGAATTATCTTTGTCACATTGTGTTATGAAAACATCTTCATGAAATTGGGGCAAATTGATCTATCTGAAGATACACAGCATGAAAAGAGACACAAATAATGGAAATGGCAGGAAATATGCAAAGAGAAAGTTCCAGGAAATCATTGCCCTTTTGTGTGCTAATATTTAAAACCTACACAAGTGATTGAACCATTGTATAATCAGTGTTTTAAAACTGAAAGTTTTTATTCCTTGTATTATTCCTTGGTCATGAAAGGGAGAAATCTCTCTCTCTCTCTCTCTCTCTCTCTCTCTCTCTCTCTCTCTCTCTCTCTCTCTCTTTCTCTCTTCCACCAATTCCCACATTTTCCATTTATGGTCTGAGATTATGGAACCAGACTTATTGAAAATAAGTGGCTCCACTATAAATGTTGAATTACATGGAGATACTCACCCAAAGCCTACAGCCACCCAGTAGTTTCTGACCCCCTGATGAGGCCCCACCATAGGCAGAATATCAGGAGAATAGGTGATGGGGCCATTGACTATATTGATGATGTCAGCTTTTTTTAAGACCGGAACCATTTCCATGGCAGTTTCGACGTACTCCATGATTCGGTCTAGATCAGACTCAAAGAGTTCCTGTCCAAAACCTGAAAAGATATGCATTGTGGTCAGGATGCGCTAGCTGTGTGGACAAGTACTCTAAAGTGATTTAGGTCTCTGACACAGCCTAGATTTAAAGACAGCCTGTTAGGAAGGTACTGCCTTTTGTTTTTAAGTCTAAATTTGACATTCACTATCAACAGATAGGTGCCCGTGATATCACTGAGAAAAATAATGTTACTGTTCTTAAAGCAAAATTACACAAGTTTATCTTTTTAATTAATAGAAAATTCAAATGTTTGCCTATTAACAGTTTCCCATATTTGATCAAATCACAAATTAAAAAAAAGCAATTTGGTTTGTCAAGTGATATTTTTATCTTTTAATTAATCATAAGATCTTGTTTCTTTCCCCCAGATGAGGGCAAATGGGAGTTTACAAAGTCATGCCAGGACACTGGGAAAAGTGGAATACTACTCTAGGATCTAAGATGATTTTATATCCCTTTTGACTTTCCTTTGAGCAGGGAAGGAATGGCATGGAGGCCTCCTTCCTCCAGCCTGCTCCCACATACATGCAAGGGCTGGAGTTCTCTGAGAAGAGGCAGGGTCTTGGAGTGCAATCGTCGTCTTCTTGTCCTAAAAGTCACTGTGATTGCAGGCAAGGCAAGAGATGAGCTTCTAGAAGAAAGTCTCTACAAATACTGGTGACATTCCCACATGGTAGGCAGCAGCTCCTCCTGGTATCTGCATTTGGGTCAGCTGCGTGGAGGCCTGGAGACCACCAGGGTGGGACTAGGACATAAAGGCACCTATACCCAAAGACAGCTAACAATATGGCTCTCCCTCTAACCGGTATTATTTAAATATTTATTCAACATTTATTTGGAGGAAAGGTTGGCAGCATGGGGGAAGAGCAGAGAGGGAGCTCCAGATGGCAAGTCCTTCCCTCTGGGATCAGGAACCATTCTGCTCTAGCCCAAATGTGCAGCACCTACTCAGCAAAACTAAAGCCCTGAAGCTAGCCGGCCCAACTTCCAGGGAAGGCCGTTGAGTGATCATTTGCCGTGATGTGCGCCTACTCTCTGAGGAGTAGGAGGACTCGTTTCCTATGTCAAGGAGCTTATCAAAATGCAATTCTAGAAAGTACCATTACCTCTATTTCTTTATATTTCCTGTAACATTTCAGTATCCCAATGATATTTTGGCTCCCTTTAGATTAAAACCTGAGGTACCTCCTTAGGCCACCCCATCTTTAATCTGGCACTGTAAAAATGTTTGATGAAAAATAAAAAAAAAAAAAAACAGACCTGCCTCCCTGACAGGACTTAAAAGAGAAACTACATAGTACCTCCTGCTTTAGCAGAGAGACCTGAGCATTTTCCCTGTGCATTTATGTAGCGAGCACGGGAGGGCCTCAGCTGGCAGTACCAACCTACCCTGCTCTGTTACAGACGCCTAGGCTTTCATTCTTAGTAGGATGGATATCTGGCCTCTAATACCTGTCATGTTTCCAACTGTAAAAGCACAATAGCAGCTATATTCAAATCTTGAAAGTAACCATGCTGGCAGCAGATCAAAAAGGAAGGGAGAAGGCAGGAGGCTGGTAAAAATATACCTGGTGCCTCGCAAAGCAGCTGGAACAGGTTTCTTCAGCTTCTCTACCACCTGCTACATCTTCTCTCTTTCCTTACTCCCTGCCGTGATTGTTCAAAGGGATAAAAGAACAGAGCTCACCTGAAACCCCTCACTTCCAAAGCCCCTGGTGTATTACAGCCTAATATTATACTGTCATCTTATTCGACAGCCAGCCCCCATCATGGAGAGAATGAACCATACGTGTGGGACCCGCACACACTTTCATTTGGTGAACCCACCTGGAGGAACTCCATTGGTGACCCAGGAGTCCAGAAGTTTCATTTTCTCCTGGCTTTCATATGGACCAAACAAAATCCCATCCCTTTCCTGTCGGAGGTAAAATGATCCTTCCAGATCACGGATCACAGGAAGTTCTCGTTTCAAAGCTTTCACTTCGGGTATGGTTGATGTAACAACGTACTGATGTTGAACCGGAATGAGAGGATGTTCTAGTCCAATCATTTTACCTACTTCACGTGCCCAAAATCCTTAAACGAGAAAACCATTTAAAAATGTCAGCACATATATAAGCATACCATATCAGACACTGATATAGATAGCAATTTTTATTAAAATAAAATAGAAGGTTTGAGTACTCATGGCAAGGACTAAAGAATGTCATAAGAATCTTTAACATTTTCGTCATTGCAAAATTAAATAGGGGAAGAGAAGACAAGACAATAGTTTGCATTGCCCAGAGTTTTGAAGATATCTGGAATCTAAGGGAACCCCTGAAAAAGTATTTTGCCCATAAGCAAAGGTAGGCAGAAAACAACCCAAAAAATTTTATTTGAGAGAAAAAACAAACAACCCAAATATATAAAATGTACTGATGTTGATAGAAAGTACGGTAAGAGACTGACCCTACTTGTGGACAGGTTGTCAGGTAAAGAGGCCCCATGTTGATGTAATCAACATAATACATAAGGACAGCACACGATAAAGCCCTGCAAGTCAACTCCTCTATCCCCTAACCCTATTCCCTCCAAGTTGTTGATGCCTAAAATTCTACAAACACAAAATTGTGCTGCTAACTTAAAATTTTAAAATGTGTATACTTTGGGAGAGAGAGCACATTAAGTTTTATTTAATATTTGCTGTTTTAAAAGTTTAGTTTGAGTAAGTTTGCAAGATCCTTTCTCATAAAGGGCACGAAGGCATGAGGAGTCAAAAACAGGGAAGAAGAGAAGCCAGAGGAAGGGAAAGACTGGGCTCAAAAGTAGGTGGGGAGTTCCCCAAATAAACGTTTCTCACTTCACGATTTGCATGGGGACTGTCTTATTGGTGGAAATTATTATTATTATTATTATTATTATTATTATTATTTTGAGACAGAGTCTTACTCTGCCCGGGCTAGAGTGCTGTGGCATCTGCCTAGCTCACAGCAACCTCAAACTCCTAGGGTCAAGCAATCCTTCTGCCTCAACCTCCCAAGTAGCTGGGACTACAGGCACGTGCCACCATGCCTGGCTAATATTTTATATATATTTTTTAGTTGTCCAGCTTATTTCTTTCTATTTTTTTTAGTAGAGACAAGGTCTCACTTTTGCTCAGACTGGTCTTGAACTCCTGAGCTCAAACGATCCACCCGCCTCGGCCTCCCAGAGTGCTAAGAGCCACCACAACAGGGCTTTATTGGTGGAAATTAATGTTATTTTTTTCATTTGAAAAAGACACAACTGGATAATTTGTAGCTGAAGGGACCTTTGATTCTTTCTCAGGCTGACCCTTCAGAACACAGAGGAGGGAGCCAAGGTCCAAACAGGTAAGATATACCCAAGGTCACATGGGGATGTCCTGTAAGCAACACATCTTATTGGGTTTCTTGCTGCAGAAGACTTTATTTTAAAAATCTAAGGCACCTCCACTTGTGTAAAGGTATTTTAGAATCTAAAATAATAAAAATTATTGTTGTTTGGCAAGGATATGGTATCATCTGATTCATCAATGGATTATTGGGGGGGAGGGAGTTCTATTTGCTTATTCATTTCATAATTTTGAGGAATTATTCAAATGATTAGAGAATTCTATTTAAGTTTTTTTTTAGTGTTGCACACTCTAAATTTTTAGCCATTTCTGTTTTCTTTCTTTCTGAATCTAATAAGGAGTTATGAAGTTTCCATCTTTATGAAGTTCAGAGCCAGACACCGAATCATCAATTATAACTCAGTCTGGGAATCCAGAGTACGTGCTCATATGTGCCAAAGTTTATTTCCATTTAATCATCTAAACATTACCCTTGTGTTTTATTGTTTTGTTTTGGCCTAACAGCTAAGTTGGTCACACTTGTATAATAAATCCAGAAATGGGTACCTGTTTGCAAACTAGAAATCTGACCTGTGGGCATTAGAGCTATTTGTTGGTCTTTTAATAATTTAGGGACATAATTTATTCTTGCTAGTAGGAAGATACAAATTACCAATGTCAGGATGTTGTAGGAAAATGTAGTAAAGACACATGTTGTTCTAGTTATACATGCTTGAGCAGTTTTAAAATATAAAAAGTCAAAATATTTAGCTTAGCAATTCAAACTACTGCAGTATCCTCAATATACTTGTTTCAATTAAAAACATAAATTTTCAGGCCCATCCCAGTCTGCTGAGCCACCCCTAAGTACTTCCAGGGCTCCCCTGTCCGTGTTGCTGACATCCCATGCATCTCTCCATTGGCTACATTAAAGGCCCTTTTTTATAACTTTGTTTTCTTACTGACCCAGGAACTGTTAAACATTTTTTTCTGCCTCCCCTATCATGTAATTTTTTTTTTTTTTTTGGTAGAGACAGGGTCTTGCTATGTTGCCCAGGCTGGTCTTGAACTCCTAGCCTCAAGTGATCCTCCTGCCTCAGCCTCTTAGAATGCTAGGTTGCAGGTGTGAGCCACCACACCCAGCCAACCCCCATGTAATTTTAATACCACAGATGTACTGTATATCTATTTATGTACTGTATCTGTACTTTGTACATAAAAGAACCCATTTTTACCCCCTTGGGGGTGGTAGGACCCTCACTGACAATGCATAGGTTAATTAAAACTAATAAATTATTATTTAACATTTAGAAAAACATAAATTGAAGAAAATTCTGTTTTATCCAAACATATATGAATTTCTGAGTCTAATTACTTGCTTATTAATGCACTGTATCATTAAATAAGTAGAAATGTATGCATAAGTATCATATAACTATATTACTTCAAATCCCATAGGAAGCTCTATGCTGCTTTACCCTATGGGGGTGGTATCTGTTGGCATTCCCTTCCTCTCTATGTCAATCAAATTAGCCTAAATCTAGCCAGGATTACCCTTCATCTCCTACTAGATCACCCACCCACCAAGATCAAAGGGAAAAGAGACAAATGTGGGAGACTCATTCTAAAATCTACCACTATCACCTGAAAAACAACAGAAGAGTCAATAAAAATGACCACTGGCAATGACTTCCATTTTTTAAAAGAGCAGTGATTAATAGAAATGAAATGCAGGCTGAAGGTTGATGGACAAGTTTACTTCTACTAGATGGTTTATACAGTGACAATAATGGTTTTATTCTTTAACGAAGAATATCAGACAAAATCAAGCTATTCTTTTTGGCTGAGCACTGGGCTTCACATTAGCACAATCCAAACACATTTCTGATTTACCATATTAGGAAAATTCTTAAGTAAATTTTAGAAAGTTATGTTGGGCTTAATGAGTCAATTGGAAATGAGGTCAAGAGGAACATTCAACACCATGCAGAGAAAAAGCTTGTGTCATAATAAATAGCATATGCCCATGTCTCTGAGCTGCACCTGAGGGAAGGAGTAGAATGAAGCCAATTTTGAAAGCTTCCAGTGCTAAAGGCAAGTTAGACTACCGCACACCAAAAGGCCGGAAGTGTCAGAAACTTCCACAGCTCTGCTTGCTCAGGAATACAGTTACTTGGCCCAGCTCGGTGGCTCAGGCCTGTAATCCTAGCACTCTGGGAGGCCGAGGCGGGTGGATTGCTCCAAGTCAGGAGTCTGAAACCAGCCTGAGCAAGATTGAGACCCTGTCTCTACTATAAATAATAGGAAGAAATTAATTGGCCAACTAATATATATAGAAAATATTAGCCGGGCATGGTGGCACATGCCTGTAGTCCCACCTACTTGGGAGGCTGAGGCAGACGGATTGCTTGAGCCTAAGAGTTTGAGGTTGCTGTGAGCTAGGCTGACGCCAAGGCACTCACTCTAGCCTGGACAACAAAGCGAGACTCTGTCTCAAAAAAAAAAAGAAAAGAAAAGAAAAAAGAATACAGTCACTTATTGCAAAGTCAAATGGCAAGAGAAAAAAAAAAAGAATACACTCACTACATTCTCTGTCCTGTAGGAACACTCATAGAGTGCTGTTTCTACATAGAATTTTTGCAAATTTTCTGGTACGGGCAGTACAGTACCTGGAGTACTTATTTAAAATGCAGCTTCTGAGCACCCACCCAGAACATCTGAATTAGAATCATTTCGAAGCCTGGGAAACTTCCCAAGGTGATTCTTATGCACACTAGCTTGGTAACCAAGCTCTTTGAGAAGCCAATTTACTAGCAGAATAGGGGCCGGATGCCTACAGGGCAAAAGAAAGAAATTGAGCAATCTTAAGGCTAGTAGTAAGAAGCTATCATAGCTTGATGCTACCCCAGACTAGGGCATAGACTATCAAGGAAATAATTGTAATAATCATTCATAATAATTATTATACCTAATTTTTTTAGTGCTTTCTACATGGTAATCCCTGATCTGGGTATTATACATCATTAGCTTATTTGCCACCCATAATAACTTTTCAAGATGGGCAATATTATTCCTATTTTACAAATGAGTAACTTGCCTGAGTCACTTAATTGACAATGCACGTCTCTGGGTCAGAGAGCACCATTACCATGGGCAATGCTAGAAGCACATCAGCAAACTGACAAATCTTTACTCTCAGATTGTCCTTTTTATTTTACTTTATTTTTAATTATTATAAGTACATAATAATTAAAGATATAATTAAATTATATTATGTCAAATATATCAAATATATTCTATTAAATTTAATTGTATTAATTAATTATAATTAAAATATAATAGTTTTGTATCTTTATAGTGTACATGTGATGTCCTGATACAGGCATAAAATGTGAATTAATCAAATCAGGGTAATTGGGGTATCCATCACCTCAGGCACTTAACTTTTCTTTGTGTTAGGAACATTCCAATTCTACTCTTTTAGTTATTTTAAAGTATACCCTAACTTATCATTGCTTATAGTCACTTTGTTGTGCTACCAAATATTGTTCATTCTACCTATCTAACTATATTTTTGCACACATTAACCATCCCCATTTTATCCCCCCTGCAGAATCTTTGGTAACCATCATTCAACTCTCTGTTAGACTCTGTTAGACTTTTTATGGATATCCTGAAGACCCAGAAACATTTACATTTCGGTTATATTTCCAAGTGCTTTTTCTGGTTACTTTAATCAGATTTCAGAGCTGGCCCGAGGGGGTTGCCTAAATTTGTGAGACTTCCTGGTCTCACTGAGTAACTCTGGGAAACATTCTACCAGCCACACATTCTCAGACCATTTCAGCATGATGCCTTCTGCAGATGGTTGCTTTTATTCATAAAATTGATCTTTGTTAGTTTCAATTCTAGAAGCAGAAATATACAAACCTTTGTACGATAGTAGAATGAACAATATTTGGTAGACAACAAAGTGACTATAAGCAATGATAAGTTAGGGTATACTTTAAAATAACTAAAAGAGTAGAATTGGAATGTTCCTAACACAAGGAAAGTTAAGTGCCTGCGGTGATGGATACCCAATTACCCTGATTTGATTAATTCACATTTATGCCTGTATCAGGACATCACATGTCCACTATAAAGATACAAAACTATTATATTTTAATTATAATTATTAATATAATTAAATTTATAGAATATATGTTGACATAATATAATTTAATTATATCTTTATTATTATGTACTTATAATAATTAAAAATAAAGTAAAATAAAAAGGACAATCTGAGAGTAAGATTTGTCAGTTTGCTGATGTGCTTCTAGCATTGCCCATGGTAATGGTGCTCTCTGACCCAGAGACGTGCATTGTCAATTAAGTGACTCAGGCAAGTTACTCATTTGTAAAATAGGAATAATATTGCCATCTTGAAAGTTATTATGGGTGGCAAATAAGCTAATGATGTATAATACCCAGATCAGGGATTACCATGTAGAAAGCACTAAAAAAATTAGGTATAATAATTATTAGAATGATTATTACAATTATTTCCTTGATAGTCTATCCCTAGTCTGGGGTAGCATCAAGCTATGATAGCTTCTTACTACTAGCCTTAAGATTGCTCAATTTCTTTCTTTTGCCCTGTAGGCATCGCCCTATTCTGCTAGTAAATTGGCTTCCCAAAGAGCTTGGTTACCAAGCTAGTGTGCATAAGAATCACCTTGGGAAGTTTCCAGGCTCAAATGATTCTAATTCAATGTTCTGGGTGGGGCTCAGAAGCTGCATTTATTTATTTATTTTTTTTTGAGACAGAGTCTCACTTTGTTGTCCAGGCTAGAGTGAGTGCGCGTGGCGTCAGCCTAGCTCACAGCAACCTCAAACTCCTGGGCTTGAGTGATCCTTCTGCCTCAGCCTCCCGAGTAGCTGGGACTACAGGCATGTGCACTATGCCCGGCTAATTTTTTATTATATATCAGTTGGCCAATTAATTTCTTTCTGTTTATAGTAGAGACGGGTCTCGCTCTTGCTCAGGCTGGTTTTGAACTCCGTGATTCGAGAC